AGATATATATATATCTATCTATCTATCTATATATATATACAATGTGTGTGTGATTTATAGTTATGTCCATCAATTTTTGAGGTTTACATTTCTTTGCCGCACAGCCAACCTGCTGACCTGACTTTTTTTCGACAGAAGTCAAGCAACACAGTTTGGTCACTTCCCTGTCTCCAACCTGTGATGGAACATTAGGAGAGCAGGATATGGACTGATTAATTCTCTGTCCTGTCCTCCTGACTTTGGTGCTAGTTATATGATTAGAAACATCATAGCTTTGTGGTTTTGGCATTTTTCCTTAATTAGCTGTTGCCTAAGCCCTTTGTAAGTTTAGTGTTGTATACTGCGTGAAATAATCTATGTTATGCATGAGTTCTCAGCAGTCAAATAATTGGGAAACTCTAGTACCTTGTCAGCAGTTTTCTTAGACACTTGGAAGTTAAATGTCTTTGAATGATGTTCACTGCACATTTACAGATTTTGTTTTCTTTGGCATTTTTCATTATGTGTGTGTGATCGAACCTTTACTTTCTGAAGTGTTAAAAATTTATGAATAAAATGTTAATGTTTCACTCCCTCCTTTTCCGACTTTCAGAGTTGTTGAGGCATGTTAGACTACGGAATGAATTATTATGTCTAACTTGTACTGTCATTTTGCTTTCAGGATTCTGGTGGGGTGAAGAACACATTGTGTGGATACCAGACACTTGATAAAGAGGTACGACAACCGCTATTACCTTAATATGCAGAAAGAAAAATATAAAATATTGTCAATGTCATACCATTTAGTGGTTTGCTAAAAAAATCTTTACACATGGACCACAAGGCCCATTTGCCAGTCATGTTAGTGCGTATTATGATTTAGGCTAGTACTCAGAAAGCTTGCAATTTAAAGCAGCCCTGAAGCTAGGAATTACTATCAGTGGTGTCTTTAGGGAAAGCTACTGATAGGCTGGTTGTATCTAACAAGCCAATCAGTGCCTCTGCCTGAAGAAACTTCCTAGATGGTGGCAATGCTCACATGAACCTCCCAGCTGCAGTTAGACCTTCATCCGGGCCGCGTCTGGTGGAGGTGTTAGGGAAGCATAGGAAACCTTTTTTTCTTCTGGTTTCCCAATTGGTTATTAGACTGGTCTGGGGCTTAAAAACATGGGTTGGTTACCAGGCTTTATGTGTACTTTAACATTTTTAGCTACTTGAAGAATAATTTAACAACATTTCTTTATTGCCCATTAAGTTGCACAGGATTGTAGAATAGTCTATGGAATGTGGGTTTTTGCACAGATATACAAAGTATTTTTCTCATTCCGGTAGCAGATCTTGATTCCACAAATCCTCAGTCCCTTCTGTTCAGCACTCGGCATTAAGGCTCACAACTAGGGATGCACCGATACCGATACAAGCATCGGTATC